GACTGTATTCGTATAGTCATAAATACATACACACACGCAGTGCACCTTGACCTACCTACAATAACTATCCGTACTTTTCTTTCGCTAGACCTGTGCAGCGTTTCGTGTCCCACTCTGCGGGCTGGGTCCAATTGAACGCCACATTTTCGGGACATAGCTATACTCTGTATACCTACATGCACATACAAGTATTCGGCCACTGAAGTGCTATTTGGTATAAACACGGTGCACCTGGGACCTACCTACAATAACAATCGGGACTTTTGTCGCCAGATCGGTGGTGAGTTTGGTGTCCCACTCCGCCGGTTGAGGCCAGTTGAACGTCATGTCTTCAGGAGTGAGCTGTATGTGCGACAACAGTTTCGCACTAGTGTGCGTCTGGCAGAAGTTAGAGCGACCGTACGGTTTGGAACACAGCGCTATAAGACTCTCTCGGCGCATACCCTCGTCATTGGCGGCTGTAGGTAGTCAGTGCGAGGAATGAACCATATAAGAACGGCATTGATATCGACGGTCGCATGATCGCTTACGCGTTTATGGACATAGAAGAGTACGCGTGTATTGCTTTGTCCATGTCGATGCATAATCATAATCTTCAATACTAAGATGGGGAGGTGAGGTTGTCAATTCGATGCGCTGTCGGTTCCTTAATAGATAGGTCGTATATCTCGATCTCAGCGATATGACATCCTACAACATCGCAGTTCAGTTTCTATACTGAGTGTACAACTACAAACCACTTTCACCATTGCCCAATGTGTGACAGAATGGCTAAAACCCTACCCGTCACATCGCAAACTTCATACGACACCGCAGTGTGTGTGTGTGATGTGTGAGCACCACATACCATCTTCACTGATGCATGCGCCTGTGTAGGCAGTTACTGGTCCGTTCGGGGTTCCTTCGTCGATCTGGATGGGTTGGTCAACCTCTTCGATGTCTTGTGGATTGGGTGAGATAGGGAGATAGGGAGTGCTTTAGCTAAGTCTGCACTATGTATGCACAGATGTACGTTTAAGATAGACACTCCTGGTGTGTCACAGTTTATGTATAGCAATATATATGAAGATAGGTACTCATGCTGCACTATATATGCACAGATGTACGTTAAGATAGACACTCCTCGTGTATCACAGTTTATGCATAGAAATATATATGTATATGAAGATGGGTTACTCGTGCTGTATCTGATTTTACAATTGTCAGTGCGTGTGCGTCTCCTTCGGTGTACTCATCGAGCTCTACAGTCTGATACGAAATCAGGTGACAAACCATATATATCTAATCATTTACGAGAAGAATTCGTGAGAATAAAAACCACATGTACATGTGATAGAAAGCTTCTCGACGCACTACCCTCTCCTTCGCATCGAAGGATTCGATTGCACATGCACACACCTTCTGCTCCGTCTTCCGGTATTTCATCTATACCCAGGTTCGGGTACGGATCGAGATGTAGCTTGACCTGTCCCACCTCTTCATACAGTGTGGGGTATCCCATGTCCTTCAGCCCAACAATGGCCCACGCACCGCCCACCTCCAAGGCATCAATCTGCACGCGTGGGATGAGAATACGATAAGTAGGACGCGTTCAAACAGCCATCAAGAAGATAAATTAAGTTTTTGACTAAGGAAGAATCTAGGTGCAACTTGGCTTGTCCCAATTCTTGATTAGATTGAGGTATACGACGTCCTGCAGCCCAGCAATGGCCCACCTCCAAGGCACCCTAAAACCTTAGAAGCGTGGGATGAAAACCCAATAATTATTTTGTATTGAAAATTCAGCGTGGCGACAACTAGAATTGAATTAAGGAATCTGAATGCATCTCTTCACTTGTCCCATTTCTCCGAATATAAAGGGTCATCAGATGTCCTTCAGTCCAACAATAAACCCCCCCACACCCCACCGTCCGCGCATATATTTTGGAGTTGCGTGGCTGTCACTAGTCATCCAAAATAATTTAGGACTCGTTAAGGAAGTAATTAGGGTGAAACTAGAATAAGACCGTACTTTGCCTGTCCCCTTTTGTGTGTGTGATACTCGAAATTGGATGCCCGTCGGCCCCAAAGGCGTACGAACCGCTCGCCTTCAGCGCATCGGTCATGGAATGGTGCGATATAAGTACCATAACCCGGCCACTCTGTGTACAAGAACCAGTATTCACTGCACATGTAAGACGCATTAACGCACACACACCACAGCTACAACCTAACTCAGACTAATCAGCGCAGACTAAATCACCATACTCTATCACGTGATTATTGCAATCGTATACAGGTAAAAGTTTTCATTATACTGACTGGTAGCTAGTCCAATTTGTGCTAACCCCCCTGATGGAAAGCCGTTTCCTGTCGTATGAAGGGTATACCTTCGCTACCAAACTTACACGATACAATATTAAAGAAATAACAATTCGATGATGGCGTTCGTAGCGTTCACAATGAATCTAGCCGACAACGACACCATAGGAGTCAACTTCCTGTTGAGCCCAGGTATAACCACTACAGGTACTGCAGATCGGATATTGCATCTCATACTAACATTAGAATGGGTAGGCCGTTTTCTAGTACTCGCTTGTCAGATATATAAAGTGAACCAGCGATACTCCCAGCCATCCCTTCAAAAACCAACCGGGCGTATACACACATTTATACTAGCACTCATAGGGGTTCATATGTTCATAGATATATATACATATACTACGCATCTACCTGCCATGACCCGATCTTGGCCATCAGAGCCTTAGCGCTGGAGTCCAGTTGGATTGCAGCTTCATCGAACGTGACAGCCGCGACGATGGCGTTGGGGTCGATTTCGCTCAGAAAGTCACCCAGGTGCCGCGGTCGCTTAGTGCCGGTATGAAAGGTCTGTACGACGAGTAAGAAGAAGTTAGGAGATTGTAGGGAAAGATGGGGAACTAGGAGATTAAGGGAAGATTATGAAAGTAGGGTATTGCGGGAAAGATTAAAAAATCAGGATATGATGGGGCAACTAAGAAACTAGGATGTGATGGGGGAAGTTGAGGAATTAGGATGCGATGGAAGAATTGAGAGATTAGGCTGTGATGGGAAAAATTGAGAAATTAGGATTTGGTGGGGAGAATTGAGAAATTAGAATATGATGGGTCAGGGTGGCAAATTAGGAGGTAATGGGAAAGAAAGCGAAAGTAGGGTACGACGGAAAGCTTGAAATTGAACTGAAGAGACACAACGGAATGGTGTGCAAGGATCCAATGGGAAGAATGTAGCTGGGTGTCAGTACGAGACGTCCACATAGGCTTGACAGTGTGGTGACTTAGCATGACAGTGTGGTGACTTAGCATGCAATAGGGAAACACGTAGACTGTCGTCTATATAGAACGTCTGGAGAGAGAGGAGGGGGGGGGGGGAGGAGGAGGAAGTTATACGCCATGAGACAACTCCTATACATTGAAGAAGCTTATAGCTCGTTGTCTATATGACGCGCCTGGGGACGCTCGAACGCGAGAGTTCGGTTTGGCGTTTGTATGGCGTGTGCATGGAGTGAAAGAATACGGCAGAAAGATTCCACTTAACATGGTGGGAGAGAGTCTAAGTGGATGTCTCAGTGATTAGGGGGGTAAAACCCTAAACTCTAAAATTGGGTCTAACTGGTCTCGGTGATTAGGATTTTAAAACCATAAACCAAAATCGGGTCGAACTGGATGTCTCAGTGGCTAGGGGTTTAAACCCCTAAAACCTAAAATCGGGTCTAACTGGATGCCCCAGTGGAAGGCCTGTAATGGTTGGCACATTAATGGGTCATATTCTAGTGAGAGAATATGAATCAGTGGCTCGATGACTATATGGGACATGTGGACCGGGAGGTACATTGTTATAGCTGACGTGAGCATACGGGAGAATCACATAACAATCTCCTATTATCACTGTTTAAGTCGCACATCCCCCTCGCATCCCCTCGTCTCGCCTTCAGATAGCTGCCTACTCAAAAACTGTCACCCGCAGGACTTGAGCTGTTTGATTCGCACACCATACGTAAGTGCTCAAAACGTAAAAATGAAGCCTGTAGGTGTGTGTATGTGTATGTGATCCGAAGAGGCTACACACAATACGTATGGTGGTGACTAAGTGCCAATATACTTGAAGTGGGTAGTTGGCTAGCCCAAAGGTCTAATGGAAAGACCATAGCACATGGGCGTATAGTGTGGGTTCGTACATAATTATTGAAGCTTTACACTTGGGTTTGTATGCAGTTCTTGATCATGAAATAGACCAGAATGGCGATCTTTTCTGCACAATTTGAACCTATGCGGTCCATACACGTTCTGCGATCGCGTATAACGTTGAACGCTTATTTGCCCCATGTTCTATGCAGCACACACGCCTTACGCATATGCTCGCCACTGGGGCTATCTAAACAACAGGAACTCTAAGTCTTACGAGACCACAACATACTCGCATCGCTGAAACCAGTCCGCTCTCGGGATCAACCACCACAAGCGTCAGCCCAGGGAGGTTGTTAGCGGCACCCAGCACAGCCTCGCCTGTTGGTAGTAAGGTATTAAACCCAGAACATAGCGGTATTTGAGTACTATATGCAGGCATACAGTAATCCAGTGGGGATGATGACCGTGTATACGAACTTGGGTGTGCAGGTGCAGGTATATGGTAGCCGCTATATACAAATGCAGGAGAGTGCCCATATATCCTCACGACCGCATGTACGTGACGGCCTTCATCGCAGGCAAAAGTACCGAACACAATACAGCACCCCGCCCTGTACAAACACATGTAGCGTGGTGTAGTCCCAAAAACGCTTGAAAGGTCGTCGGATGAATGTTTCGAATAAAGTGTACCAATAAAATGATAGTACAAAATCTGTACAAGCGGAGGCAAGTGCCTAACGAGTCATGGGAGAGGCGTTTAAGGACACACCCCATGACATCTCTCGTAGAACTTATCCCCACGCCACCCAACACCCTCAATGTACACACACAGTGACGCACATGCAGATCACGTACCATTGACACACACGTGCGAGGCTTCGGCAGTTGACTTTACGAGCACTTGATGCACACCGACGGACTCTCGGCACTGGACTGTTTCTGCGAGAGGGCACGAGACGCCCACCAAGGCTGTAGGGAGCACAACACACACCACAGACATGTGTGTAGACATAGTACAGTTAGTATGAGAGGAGTGTGTGCAGAGGGAAGGGGTGTTTACACAGTGAATGTGTCTATAGGGATATAGGGATCAGTGAGCCTGTTATCGGCTGCTGTGTGACCCAATAGGCACCATGGATCTCAATAAGAGATCCGTGGACACGGCGCATAGTAGACGATCCATAGCATTCGACGGTTTCTGTGAAAGGGCATGTCATGCCTACCAGAGTTTAAGATGGCAGGACATACGTATCAAGTCATCAGTATACACACATACACACGATCGGGTTACTACTCAATCTCGCAACACACATGTATAATAAATACCCTTTTCATATCATCTGTGTATGCGCAACGTCCACGTCGTTCTACGCAATCGCACACGAGTCTCCTGTAGCGCGCATTTCGCTTGGCATGGACATCTACCTCATCACCAGCATATGGTCACTGGCACTGTATTCGACATATCTTACACCACTAACTGACACAACTTGGCAACACACTTCCCAGTCACGAACGCCCGCACACCTTCCACATCCATCTTACACCACTAGCTGACACAACATGTCCACACACTCCCCAGTCACAAACGCCCGCACACCTTCCACATCGATCTTACACCACTAACTGACACAACATGTCAACACACTCCCCAGTCACAAACGCCCACACACCTTCCACATCGCTCCACTCAGCGCCCTCGGGATCTTCAGCTGGGAGTACATTTGGCTGCACAAAGATTTCCTCATCATCATCGTAGTCATCATCCTCTTCCTCCCCTTCCTCCTCATCTTCGTCGTCATTTTCATCCTGATTTCTCCTCTCTTCGTCCTGATTTTCGTCTATGTTTTCGGCTTTTGGTCTGTCCTGATCCAGATTTTCGGCAGCTGCACCCTCCCCCCTTGCTTCGTCCTGAGAATTTGCATTGTGGTCCTTTGCCATGTCTGTGCTCCAATAGGTGCATGCGCAGTGGTCGAGTTTAGGAATAGATTGTCCATGAATTTGAAGACAAAGTGTTATAAAAAATGTACGTATGTGTATGCACAACAACCGTGTCTGTGCCGTTTTACTACCCACACAGATTTCGGTATATACAAATCCGATCCAGTCTAGAGTACACAACAAGAAGGACGAGTATTTATTTAATAGCTGCCACTTATGTAAGACATTCACAGTGCTAATGTAGTCCCCGGCCCAACACGCTACTGCACGATCACTACTATTGGTATATAGCTGCGACAGCGGCCATATAAATGATGTTGGTCCCCGCCAAATGCAAACTATTGATAATTCCTACTCATTTGAATTCGAATTTTAACTGCATTCTCAACAAATTCATAAACTCGTCTGAAGCTTTCATAAACGGCGTCTTGCTGCTATTTGTCCAACAATCACTAAACCACAAACTTATACAGATGCTATGTACATGCGATGTGCTTTTGTTTATGCTATGTCTATGCTATGTACTTTGTTCGGGCGCAGTACCTACTTGTTGCCGCGAGAGATGAAGCTCATTTACATTTAGACAGGTACAGACGATCAATGCATACGCCGACACATATACCTAGACATTCAGTCTATTTTAAAAAGGTGCGCCCATACATACATATTGTG